ACCTCTATTAGAGCAGTTAGTAATATGCATTTGGATTATTTATGTACCTATCTGTATCTCCCAGCTAATCATAAGCTCCTCTGGGGCAGGCCCTCTGTCTTTTTCATCTGTGTCTCTAGTGCCTAGCATGGTACTTGGGCACTAGCATATCCTGAGCACTTGCTAAATGCTTGTTGAAGGGATGAATAAATGAATGAATGAAACTTATCATGTTAATAAAAAGTTCATACTGATTTGAAATTTTCAAAGTTAACTAATCAATAAATTTGACTTGAGCATTTGTGATAAGTAAAGCATGGTGTTGCATTAGACACACAGACATGCTGAATGTGGTCTTAAAACACTTGTAATCCAGCTGTGGAAACCAGGTAAATATGTATAAAAATAAATGCTAATTAAGAGAGATGATTTTAGAGATGATTTTAATAAACTGATGAAAGGGAATTTCTCAAGATAATGCAGAATGGGTTGCTAAATAAATGAAATAGAGAGGTTATGGGATCTTGGAGTTTGAAAAGGTGGCTATGGCCTGGGAGAGGGGTTCTATAGGATCAGTTAGAACTCCATGTTGCAAGTGGTAAAAAGAATGAGTCCACAGTGATTTAAATAATAAAGGATATCTCGTTGAAATTTGCATGGAAGGCTGGCTTTAAACTAGACTCTATCTAGCCTGCAAATAATATCTGATTACTCTCCATTTCTCTGTTTCTCCATTTCAACGTGTCAGCTTTTGTTCCTCTTCGTCCGCATGTCATCACCCTTCCTCTTTTCCCCCCCGCAGCTCCATGTTCTCCCCTTGAAGGGTACCATTTCCAGACCTTTCTTTCCCAGAAGACTTCAGCTAATATATACTTGCATCGCATTATCTCTGATTAGTTACATGCTGTTCCCTGAACCAATCACTGAGGCCACAAAAATAGGATATTGTAATTGATTTAAGCTAACTAGTGCTCACTCTTAAAGTGTGGGAAAGGTCAATCCCACCAATCTAAGGGCTGATAATGTGAGAGGGTGGTTGACAAAGAATGTACAGGATACCCAGAGAGGTTGGCATGTCACTGGGGTGGAGCAGTGTGGCTTGGGAAACATGGCTTAGGGCTCCCCTGAACAAATCTGACTTGCTGCTCATTTGCTTCACTTAAGCCATAATGCCAGGTCTCAGAACAAGTGGCTTCCAAATTATCCTTCTCTAAACCACAGAAGAAGAAAGAGCTCTCGATTAAGGATCAGAAGCTCCTGACTTCTGGTCTTGCTCTGTCAAGACATTGGATCTTTCTGATCCTCAGTTTCCTCAGCTATCAAAGGTGGATGATGACACCTATCCTCCCAGAATTGTCAAGAGGGTCACATGAAACCAGTATGGAAGCTTTTTCAAAAGTATCAAAATATATACTTATAAAGGACTATTTATAATCTCATCCTCAGTGCTCACTTCTATATATTCCTTATTTGGAGAGATAAAGAAAATTAAGCCAGTGTACTCCCCCAGTTTCCAGTTTTTCATCCCTTTTAAGACAGCCTGGTCATCTTTCAGTTTCTCATTAGCTCTATATCAATCATGATGCTTTTGGCAAAAGGAATGGAAAATCCCATCCCAAAGGGCTTCAACAGTAGGACATTTTATTCTCATAATTACTCCACAGCCAGGGTGGCTTCCAGCTGCAGTATGACAGGCCCATGCCTGCACATCTTTTGGGTCTGACCTTCCCTAAGGGTTGCTCTCATCCTTAGCAGAGCGGCAATGTGGCTGCAGTGGTTCCAGGAATCACAGGCAGAGAGGAACTCTTTCTTCATGAGCGTCTCTTTTTTCCAGGCTCAGAAACCTTTCCAAGAAAAACTCTCATGTCTTATTGGTTAGAATTGGCCACAAGCCCTCCCCAATCTCTTGCAAAAGGGAGATGGGATTCATATGACTGACAGAGATTACTCAGGATTGACTCTTGAACTAGGGATAGGGCTATTTTCTACATGGACACATGGTGGAAAATGATCTGAAAATGATCAGGATCTGACAGCTAAAAGAGGGAGGAGATTGGCTATTGGGTAGGCAGCCAACGGAGTCTGTGAAGCACATGCGATCAGTACCCTGCTCATATCCCAGGCCCTACGACTTCAGTGCACATCCCTGACTGCTGACCACCAGCACCTGTATTTCTTGGCTTCCAAGCTCCTTCTGGTCTTTGGAGCCCACTTTACTGCCCATGCAATAAGCCAGAAATGCTGGGAGATTCATGTTCCCATCCTGGAAACAGCCCTTAATGACTAATGAAAGTATTACATATCCCCAAGTGTATAAATACCCCAATTTCTTAATCTCTAGGGTGAGATAACTCTGTGGTGTTTGCTCTACATTAGCTTCCAGAACTTTCCTAGCAGAATTAAGCTCCAGTTACACACAGTAGTAGCTGGCTGGACAACACCCTGACAGGCTGCCTTCCTTTCCCTGTCTCACTTTTTTACTCCACTATGGTGTTTTCTTCACCGGCTTTGACTTCCTATCTCAGAGCTGGCTTCTTGGGAAACCCAAACGAAGATACTCCGCACCATATGCCAAACTCCTTCTTGAATCCAGGGGCTTTGTACATAATTTTCCCATCTTCTTGGCATGTGTTCCCTCCTTCTTCTCAGCTGAGGCACTCTCACTCTCCCTTAAACTTCTGTGTAAATGTCACTTCCCATTGGAAGCCTTCTATGACCGCCTTTCCACCTGACACCACTCTCTTCATGTTTGCTTTCCTATTCTATACTTCTTCTTATTGATGATTATAATGGTCATAATTTAATAGTTTGTGTAACTATTTGTTCCCCTCTGTATCGCCAACTAGACTGTGAGCCGCTTGAGGGCAGGGACAGTGGTTTGGCTTATCACCATGTCACTGGTCTCTAGCACAATGCCTGGGAACACAAAGTAGAGGGTCAAGGACTTGCTGGCTGGTGGAAAGACAAGGCTTGTAAGAGACCAAAGGTGTAAGTTTCAGGGTCATTCTCATAGACAAAGTGATCAAAGCTTTGGATGAAAAGATCTTTTATTCACATGCCTTCCACGTGGGTCTAAATTTATTTCTCAGGACAGAATAGAACTTTTATACATAAGGGATGTTTGTAATCTAAGAGAGAATCTTGCAGTGGCAATATATATATATATATATATATATATATATATATATATATATATATATATATATATATATATATATATATATATATATATATAAAAGATGCCATTTTAACCACCTTTTCATTTTATTTATACATTACAGAATTCTACCTCAAATCCACCATTCATTCATTGACTCATTCATTCATTCAATGCCTACTTATTGGGCACTGTACCTGGCAAGACCCTAGAATTATCTACTATCAACTTTTTCTAAAAGTCATGAGAGAGATTATACTTATGAAGAATATTCCAGGTTCTCTGTCTGCCTCCACTCTGCTTTACTTCCACATTGGGCTTTCGGCTTTCATTAAAGGAACAAGGAACACTCCTATGAAAGTAATCACTATACTTGCTGGTAAATGGTAACTTAGGACGCTGTCTATTTTGTCACTCAGTGCTCACATAGGAGAAATTTCTCTTAGTGACAAGTGGCATGAGGCAGGGTAAAAACAAACAAACAAACAAACAAACACACAAACATGCATATGTGCCATTTCTTTGACAGGCAGACTCTTTCTTACTAGTTCCTAAATCAAACCCTTACCTCTACACTGGACCAATGCAGGTTTTACAGAGCTTGAGCCCCATAAAATTTGGAATCTTTCTTTGAGAAAAAAAGTACAAAACTACAAATAAAAAGGGGACACAGAACCTTGGAAGGGGTCCACACAAGAAAGGCGCTCTGAAGTATAGGCTTCATTGGTTTCAAAGTAAGTCAGCATTTGACCTTGATTCAGTGACACTGGTCTCCGCTGCCCCTTACTCCTGCCATGGTTGTTCTGACCTCTATGCCTTATTTACCTTGCTTTCTTATTTGAAAGGCCTCCCTTCTTCTTCTTCAATCCCTGGACCATATTTTTTCAAAGTTCGGTTTCACAATGCCTTCTTTGATTCTCCCCAGCAGAAAGCTCTCCCTTCCCCAAAGGTCCACAACACTAAATATAAATCCCAGGATATTCTGTCTCACTGTGGCTTAAAGACCACAATGAACTGCTTTATTTGAGATGCATACAGCGTGCCTTCTTCATTTGGAATGCCCACTTCTTGGGCACAGGGACTATTTCTTTCTTTAGCTCTCCCCCGAGCACCTACTAAAGTTCTGGGTATAGCAGAAACGGAAGGAAAAAGGAATGGTATTATAGAAGCAAAATGATGGTGTTTGAGATGAGGCTGACCTGGCTAAAGTTCTAGCTCTGCCACTTTTTAGTGTGGTGCCTTAGGCCTAACCTCTCTGAGAACTGGTTTTCTCACTGACAAATGAATATAATAATGATGTTCATTTTATATCATTATCGTGAAGATTAGGTGAAAGCATTTATTCATTCATCAAATATCTGTTTAACCCAATCGCTCTCCGGGGCCATTTTTGGCACTAGAGGCTTAGAATATGTGTACATGTGAATGAGCAATACTCCCTGTGTGGGGTTTCTTATAGTTGAGTTGGGAGATAGAAATTTATAATGTATCAGGTTTTGCTATAACACACACACACACACACACACACACACACACACACACACAAACACACATAACCGAGCAGAATAAGTGTGCAATAAATAGCTGTTCAATAAACGAAGGAATTCAGAGGAAAAAATGGTTAATTTTGCAAAATAAGTTAACTCTTTACATGACTGCAGCATCATTCCTACATAAATGTAATGGTAAATATAATGGATATGACAGTGCATGGGAAGTCATAAAATGCTACATGTAAAAGAAAATAAAATCAATAAGAGAAAGCAAGGTTTGAAGGAGAGGAGAGAGAATAAAAAAAGAGAGAGAAGAAAGGTCCAAAGATCCAAAGATGGGAAGAGGGAGGAAGGGACATCTGTTGACCCACCTGGCCAAGTGTGCACTCCATGCCGCCCAGGAAGTCGGCCTCCTTCAGCCCGTTGTGATTGCTGCTGATGTCGTGGACCTCAAACCGCAGGCGCTGCACCTCTTCAAAGTAAAAGTCCACAGTAAACAGTTTTGAATACACCGGGTTTATGCAGGTGCGAATCACCTCTGTTCTGTCAACCTGCAAGGACAGAGAGAAAGAAAACCCACCAGGGATTAGGGCTTTTTTATTATTAACCTTCAGGCAAATTAATTTTATGGTGCTTCACCTTCTTCCAACCATAAATGCCCTTTATCCCATCACCAGGGCAAGCAGTTTGAAAGTCTTCAAGGAATGAGCCAGGTTTCAAGAAGGAAAATCTTATTAGAGCAATCTGAAGCTTTGTATTTAAAGATTTATA